ATTTTTATAGGATTTTTACATTTTCGTACTGTATTGAAAAAATTTCAACCATTGTAACTATCAAACATTATATTTGGCACTTGTTTGTATGTACATGGTGATAATGATTAGTTCCTTTAAATCCCAAGTGGAACATAAAATCTCTTATAAGGTTTCAGTAATCGCTTTAAATTCAGATGTACGGGCCGGTGATTAGCCGACAGTACCCTGGCATGGTGACAAATATATAAAACATCCTTAAAGTTTTAAGCTTTTAATTCTCTTTTTTATATTGACAAGTTGCTAATTTTCATCTCACTTTTTTAGCATTTCTGACAACTTACTCGCAACATTGTTGTGTTCATTAGCTATAGGAACTTGCAATAACGTATTTCCTTGATTATTATGAGCATTTGTTACAACTATATACTCATCCGGTTTTATCGCTTTTAATTTGCTGATTATTTCAACATTACCATTTTTTGCATCTCTAAACATTTCTTCAACTAGTTTCAGTAATTCATTAACGTTTTGGTCATCAGAAAGATCAAGAGGTGTTTTATCTTCATTATTTTTAATGTTATAAATTGGTAATATCCAAAAAATCATTTTTGGCTGCAACGTGAAGCGATGTAGTGCCACTAGCAGCGGTTTTAGTATTGAAAAAATTGTTTAATTTATCATGACTCTTACATGTTGTAATAAAACTTCAACAATTTTTTTAAAACCTTTAGAAGTAGCAGTGTGTAATAGTATATCACCTTTATTAGTAACTTGATTAACACAAGCTCCGTTTTTTAGTAAGACACATAATGTGTTCACAACACTTGCCTGTCCATTGCTAACAGTGTAGTGTAACGGTGTTCTTCCATCAATGTCTTTATTATTGGCATCAGCTATTTTAATCAAATTTTTATAAGCGTTGAACAGCTGTATTATGTCATCATTATTAACAGCAATGGACGCTGATGGTTTGCTCTCTATATAAGCTTATATATCTTAAAAAGTATTAGAGAAATAAAAAAAGTTTCAGACAAAAGTTGTTCAAATTAATTAGCAGAAAAAGATAATACAATGAAAAAGATAATACAATAAAAAATTCCATTAAAATAATTTAACTTGGACTTTACTGATTGTGAGTTAAACACAGGCTTCGGGTCCAAAATCTAATAAGATCATCTATTAGTCGCCTTTAAACTCTCCAACTTTTATCTGAAACTTTTTTCCAATAAACCAATACTGTTTTAGATAATTGGCCGTTCTGAAATGTTTGGCACGGTATAGGTACATTATGTATATACCTATATTGTATATATAAAGAATTATAGAAATAATGTAATATTTAATGTATAAATGTAAGCAGATGCGTATAATAAGGCGAGAATCGCGTTTGATAAACATTTACTTGAAAGCTTTTATTTACTAAAGTAATTTTTATTTACTAAAAAATTGTTAATAAATTCGGGAGATATTTTATTCAAAATTTCGTATTGGAAATTATTACTATTATGATAAGTAGTATAATTTATTTAATAAAAGTGTGAAAAGGTTCGATGCTAGACAATGATCATTTACCTATAATATTTTTGTTCATGAAAGTCAACATCCGCGTCTTACATATTATGAAATAGTCAAATAACAAATAAAATTAACATATTTTTGCGAAATTTCGGATTTCAGATTGTTGCCCGTTATAAAAAATTATAATTTGAAACGTTTATTTTATCTCGTTCTCGATAAAACATTTTCGCGAATTTCGCATAATATTAAACAATTTGTTAAAGAAATCTTCTTAAATTACGTTCGGCGTTAAATACATTAAATCGTTAAAAGTTAATACAAATACCGTGTTATTGTCATGTTCATAGACGCGATCGCTGCCTCGGTGATAAGGCCTTATCGCTGTTTCTCGCGTCAGATGGACGCAAATGCGTGGTTTTATACTGATGGAGAGTCGTAACGATTTTTGTCGTAGAGAGTTATTTCTCATCAGTTTCTATAGAACCCATCTTCGGCGCCTAGTTTGGTGTCTCGTTGAATCTAAGGGTTTTTGTTGCAGGGCCGAAATTAATTTCAAGTTTTCTTGGCGGTTTCCAGAAGCAGTGGTTTCGGCATAACGATGACAACTACGTAATTTTTAAAGTAAAATCACGAAATCGATTAAACAGCATATTCTGAGAGAAAAGACTTTATTTTCCTTATTAAATATTCTCCCGTTAATTAATATTAATATTACTTTAATGCTAAAAATAACTTAGCAGATTGAACATGGATAGTTACTGTTTATAGACAAATTTGAATTATACTAAAGAAATTAAGGTGGTTCGATGGCTACAACAAAATGCAGAGAATTTCATGAAATTTTAATATGTTGTTCTGCAATGCAAAATAGAATTATGTGAATTTTTTGGGAATTTTTCACCGTCCCGTTTTGAAAAAAATCTACTCCGAAAACCTAAAAAGTACAATTTTAGGACATTTCGTAGAAAAATTAATTATTAAAGCATAAATTGCTTGATTTTTCGTCTGCATAGACTGTCATGGTCGTGAACGACGTGAACAGCAGCACGCATTATACACGCGGCGACCAATCAGAGCGATCCCCTTCATTCCCACTACTTCAAACGCTAGTGCGCTGTTTCCAGAACCCCCGCGTCTCACTACTCCCTCCGATGAAGCCATCGAACCTCCTTAAGGAGGTTCTACAGATAATGGATGTATCTAAAAATTGGAAAAAACTTTATGGACGTGTAAATTGAGATGCAAGAAAAGTGCTCGAAAAATTTTAGCATCGGTTTACCGTGTAAAAATTTGCAAAAATGAATTTTGAAATCACAGTTTTTAACATAAACTACATATGGCAGAGGGGCTCTTGGAGACAGGAAACGAGATATTAATTATATAAAGGCGACCCACCAAAGCTCAAAAAACGGAGCTCTTATAGATCTTAATCTAAGCTTTTCAGAAATATCGAGAAAAACAAGGGTTATCGCGTAAAATTTTGTGATATTGGCTATTGAAACAGGCCATATCACAGTTCACGTAGCGTGCTTCGAATAACAAGGGAGATTTGGCAATGTCGCAGCGACTGCACCCGCGCGAAAAGTGTACAGCCAGTACAGCACCACAGTATGACAGCACCTCAAACTTAAGCACCTAACGTTTACGAGCGCTTACGGAGAATACTCGCTCTAGAATTATGTGAAATTGTGAAATAACCGTGATCATATGAGCAGAACTGTCAAGTTCGCGACGTTACCACATTTTCTTCCATTATAAGCCGCCAGAGTCAAAGGAGCACTTACACGATATTTTTAATTATTCCTCGCTTCGACTAATATGGGTATGATATAAGCTCTAACGTCATCAAAATTCACGAAAATATTTTATGAATACTTAGAACCGATGAATTTGAAGATTTTCTCTTCATCTCTCAACTGACTAGAGAGTATCTGTAGAACCTCCTTAAAAACTTAACTTTGGTCGAAACTCGAAACGACCAAAGGGTCGTTTCATATAACTCCTTTAAAAAAGAAGTAGTTACACAAATGGATATATATTTTTATTTAATCTTTAGTTTCTTTTAAGAAACTTTTTCAGGCACTGGACATTTTGCCATTCCAGAACTTTAATTAATTTTTTAATTTCTCAGGTTATTTAATATATTTTTAGGTTATTTAATTACTTTCTAATGTAATAAGATACATATGCAATGTATGACATGTTACGTAAGAAATTTTTATATAACTTGTTCAGTTGTTAAAACTTTATGAAAAAGAGGTATATACTTATTGAAACAAATTACTATAATATTGTGATAAACATAAATAAAAATGTGCGAGTACTTAATAAATTCGAGACAAATCGATTGGGTACCCTGATATCTGTAAGATTTTGACAGTTCTAATTATCTAAATGTTGCATTTAATATTTAGATAATTCTACTTAATTACTTATTATAATTGATTAAATATCACAGAAAAATTAAAAATTACATGAGTTTTATGCCATTAAATATTTAACTACGAAATTAATTGAAATCTCACTGTTATCGGTTTGATTCATCTCGAACAGTCGGTACTCGAAAACTTTCGTACTCGCACATATAATAGTAAACTACAATAAAATTATTTGTAACCACTCTTCGAGAGGAATTGTTCTATCCATAATTTTTGTAATAAAATATATATGTATTTTTTTTAATAACGGAAGAATATATTTTCGCACGCGTATCTTGATTTTGTAAGAAGTTATAATAAATACCAATTAAATCGTGAAAACATTCGGGAATTGCATAATACTATATTTGGAAAGAGGTAAAAGTTTGCCGTTAACTGGCTGCCGAAATGGCTGCTATCGCAGCAGTCCGGAAGATCCGAGATTCGTTTCCTCCTGCAGCGAGGTCTTTGGTGTTCAACGGGTCACTTAACTTTCTTTCGCAGATTGATCCTATGAAATACGACAGAAGCAGAGCACAGCTCGCTCTCCACTATGTGAATCGTTCTTCTCTATGTCGGATACTACCTGGCATGCCACTTGGCGGATAGGAGGGATCTTGATCTGGTGAAATCATTGGGCCAGTTAGCCTCCATTGAACGCAGTGATAACACGGTTTTGCTCGTGATTTTTTTAAGCTTGTCTATCTCGCCGTTGAAAGTAAAACGGGAATTAGAGTTTAAATGCGCGATCAATTATTTTATTGCAACGAATATTATAAAATTACATATATCGGAAGTGGCTTGACCTTGTTTTATGCGTCGCGTATTTTTTAGCTTGATCATTGTCTTATATCGAAACTTAAATTTGTCTATTTTTTTCGCGTATTCTTGATAATATATGTGTAATGGTCATTTAAATCGGTAAGGTTGTCATAACTATGTAGTTTTATCAATAATACTATTAATAGTAACAAAAATGATGAAGATTGCATGGAATCAATTACGAGCAAACGTTGCAATTAAATGGTTGCGTGTGTTTCAGTTATCTGATTGTTATATATGTATCACGGCATAATAGTTACAAAATGTTATCGCTATTATATAGAAAAGGACATTTTAAAAGAGCTAATTGTAATTCAACGAATACAGAAACACTTTAATGCTCGCATGTTTCGCTTTTTCGATCAGCTTGGAATCGTGAAAGAGAATTGTCAGAAATTTCTCATGTAGTATTTTATTACTATCTCTGAGATCTACACGCAATAGAGACAAATTACTGTTATTAGTCCCGTTTGAAGTAATAAACAGATTTATCTGCGCTTTATCGCCAGCATAAGTGAAACATAGCGATATGTTAGCAATGATCATAGCAACAAAGTCAGTTCTTGTGAAATCATGCTGGAAAATTGTCGATGGTTGCTATACATATCGCGCCTTTGTGGCTGTCATCCACACACGATTGATGAATTATCGATATTCAAAAATTTTCACCCACTGGCAGTGTACTCACTGATCGCGTGCGGGATGTATTGCGCCGGAGGATATTATACATTTAACACTTATTTAACTGTGTGTGAGACTAATATGGGATGTGTTCTAAAACGATTGAATCTATACAGCCGGTCTTCCTATATGATTCTAACGGCATTGTTGTCGTGTCTGCGACATATGGAATTTGAACGTACTATATCCACAACTCGTAAATTCGATAATTTAATACAGCATTATCATTGGTGCACTGATGACAAACGAAAGAATCACTATATGCAATGGCTGATTATGATATTGATCTTGGGCGCTTGGTTCATACCTATCTTACTAATAATAATATTTAATGCTAGAAACAAAACTTTAAACAAAACAGTTTTGTTTGAATTTATGATAATATGCGTAACACGAATATCGTTCTCCATGGAAATCGCAAAATTTTACTTCTTATACGATGCATTGCGTCGCAGATTTCATCATCTCAACAGACTGTGTTATGGATTGATTGGTATATTATTGTCAATTGATCAATTCGAAACCGTTGAACAAATCGAATCAAGTTAACTCAATCAATAACGATTCTCAAATGCTAGTATTAAGAACTTATATTAAAATTGATGAATGTTCCTAAATATCTAAGTTAATATCTAAAAATAAAATACTTTTTATCTATATATATTTAATTTATATATAACATATAAATATATTAAGTATATTTATCACGCGCACACGTGATGTTTATGGTATATAATAAATAATCTTAATAAAAGGTTTTATGTACATAGGGATGACTGTTGGCATCAATATCAGATTATTTGCCGACAGGCTTGCCATCGTGAATCTCCAGCGGTTACATCGTTACCTTCACGATGCAACAAATCATCTCACTTTTTATTACAACCCACAGTTGCTTATTTGGATCACGTGTATGTTAATGGACATTACAACTAATGTCTTCAGCACTGTTTTTAATGGAAAAGATATACTTAACAACATGCTGTTACTTTATATCCCGTATGTGATACTAATTTCATCACTTCAAATTATTGCTATAAGTTGTATCTGTCATTTGACATGCAATCAGGTATTAGTATACATATTACAAATATAAGCGAAATTGGTGTAATAACCTTTTTAATGCTGCGTACAATTGTTATAGGCGAACGTATTGGCAAGTATAATATTCTCGGCCGAAACTTCCGCATTCAAACATAGTAACTTTTCGACTGTGAGTAAAATTTGTATGTAACGCACTACTAAAATATACGGTATACATATATTGTACATGTGCGCGCGTACGCGCATGCGTGCGTATTGTGGCAACGATATATATTTAATTATGTTATCTTAAAAAATTGATTTTTCGAAAATTAATTTTACCATTATTTGTCTCTCTTCAGACAATAGGTACAACCTTTGTGTAAAACATTTGTGCTATGACGTACTTTCAGAGATAAATAGCTTGTAACATTTTAAGAGTAGGTTTCATTTGGTGCTCGTGACGCTTGTGCATGAGCATCATCCGTCCTTGTTTAACATTTGCTAAACAACAAGGATGAAATAATTCTAAGAGTGTTGCTAGCGCTAAATGGAACGTATCCCAAATAGTTTAAATGCTCCACTCCGCATGTACAGGGTGAGGCCTTTAAAGCGTTACAAGCTGTTATCTCTTTAAAAGTATGCATCTCACCAATAAATATCTTAGATTATAGTTGAAGGACACATAACGTAGAGTAATATTCATTTAATTTTGGGTGTAGGCATTACTTTTAATTTTTTAAATAGAAATTCCCATGTTTTTTTATCATCTTTTTCTATTAATTAATTTGAACAACTTTTGTGTAATACATTTTTTTATTTGACTAATATTTTTTGTGACATTTAAGAAAAATTTGGTAACTTTTTCAATACTTAACTTATCTGATCGATAAAATTGTTGTCGGAGGGAAAAGTGATATAGGACTTTTTGACTTGATTTGGTTTTAAGAATATGTTGTAATAGCTTCTCTATTTTTGTAAACACTTGTGTATACATAAAAACTTCAAAGAGATTTTAATCATAACGATCTGAGTGGCCATTACACAAAACTATCGTGTTATGAAAGAGAACTAGTCATAAGCAATAAAGATAGCGTAATGGAACAAATAGGACTCCTTGAAATTTAATTTAAAATCCGAGAATTGATTTTATTTATAAAAATTTGTTAATAAAACGTTAAACATATGGTATAAATGAATCTCGCTTTCTCCTTCATCATACAGTAAAAGAAGAACTAGATTCAATTTAAAAAACAAAAAACAGAGATGATCTTGTAATCTCCAAGGTTCTTCCACCTATCGATTTTTTTGCGATAGTTTGACGATCCCTTTGAACTTCTTCAACACTTATGTGTTCAATTTTATTAACTCAAATTTATTTCCAAGATATTTTGATTTATGGATTAAAATGGGCTAATTTGTATATATACATGGTACTGCTATAATCAATCTAATTGTATACAGACATGCATTAAGGACGTTCTCTCGTTCTTATACTAGAGAAAATCGATTTTCTTAGGATTTTCTTGAAACTGTGAATATACGTTAATTTAGGTGTGCTTTATGCGTGGTATACATTTCAGTATCTCTTCCGGTATAAAAAATCAAGATACTGAGCCTCAAAGTTTCAACTTTTACTAATGAAAAGGTTTTCCAGGCCAAACGGTAAGAGATACGAGGTTGGCCAAGAGGACCAAAGTTGCTCTTCTCGTCGAGTTCTAAGGAAAAAATGCCAAAACTAAAAAAATTAAATTAAAAAAATTTTTTTTTGTAACTTTGAGACTCGGTATCTTTTTTTTTATACCGGAAGAGGTACTGAAATTTATACCACGCATAAAGCACACCTAAATTAACGTATATTCACAGTTTCAAGAAAATCCTAAGAAAATCGATTTTCTCTAGTATAAGGACGAGAGAACGTCCTTAAACATTCGAAATTACTTTTCCGTCACGGCTTTTCCGTAAAATTTTATTGAACATTACTTATTACGAATATCTTTTAATTCTATATTAAATGTATAAAACATTTTGAAGAAATAGTTTGAAATTTTTATTAAAATATAAACCTCAAAATGGAATAAAGATCAATTCTTATTTATTTTAATTCGTAAAGTTTAAAATTTGCAAAAGTTTAACTTTACTCATTTTTTTATTAACTTATTTTTAATAGCTACATAAAAAATGATTGACATTTTTATATTTTAATTATGAAAAAATTACAAAGACAATATTTTGCGATGTTCTTTACTTTTAGGAAACAACCGAATTGGGAGTATTTCTATGGGCGCATCCGTTGCGCATCAGAGTTTGTGGCTTGTTTAATTTGGATAACCAATTTACACTTTCGGTAATTAATATTCTCACTTGTTTTTATCATGTTTTTTAGATTTATATAAATATTAAAACTACTATAAATACTGATATTTTCTATTAATTTTTGCGAAAAATCAAAAAATCATATATTTCGACTATATATTTGACTACGCACAATTAGATGTAACAGAAAATTATAAGTTGTACGAAAAATTGTTATATACGAAATTTGCATGACTTTGTAGGGGTCATTACATATAGTGTATAGGGGAAACCGAGGCTGGTTGTCACATTTTTCAAATACTGATTTAAAAAAAAATGTTATAGCCATATTTTATAATATCGTGTACTACTTTATAATGTAGCTACATCCTTTAGTATAAGAAAACAAATATTAGACTTACATGTATTATATTTATACACAAAAAAGTTATCTAATTCTAAGCAAAATCATGCAAATGTGACAACTTACCTCATATCCAGGGTTGGTTGTCACATGTTTCTGGATTGGGTGTCACGTATCTTAAATATAGAGAAAACATACGACAAATAGCTTTTGTTTTAATATTTTAATAAAGTTAATGAGTTTTTGTAGATTTAACTTAATAATATATTGCAGCATGAATTAAACAAAATATTAAAAATTATAATGTGCTCGAATTGGTGCCCGCGTTAACATTTTTAATACAATGACTGTTAATCAATGATAATCTGTTAGTCAATGACGAAACAGCACTCTGAATTGTTTCTGAATTAAGTCTATTGCACGTACGTTTTGAGAATTCGATCTTTCATATTCTCTACCGTTGTGGGTGGCTCACGATACACTGTATCTTTCAATGTACCTCATAAGAAATAATTTAATGGCGTTAGATCTGGTGAACGAAGTGGTCATAAAAATTCTCCATCACGACCTATCTATCGATTTGGAAATTATCTATGCAACGCTTCTCTTGACTCTCGTGCATGTACCACATTTTTAAACAAATATTTAATGGTACATTCTCCAATAACGTTGGTATAAGATCTTCGTTAAAAAAATTGCGTATTTTTGTTCCGTTAATTGTCCATCAATAAAGTATGGTTAAATTATTTGATTGCCGAGTACGGCCACACCACACCTTAATGCTCCGTCGTCGTTAGTGATCAATTTCTCTCATCCAGTGAAGGTGGTGAGTTCTTTAATGCCCAATAGTGCATGTCGGTAAACGTAGCTTTATCCGTAAATAAAACGTTAAAAAACGATCATTATTTTGCATTTGATGCAAAAACCACTAGCAAAATCGAACACGGTTTTCAAAGTCTGTTCCATGTAGCTCTTGGTAAAGTGATAGATGATAGGGATGAAATTTGTGAGCGTGAAGAATTCGGAGTATACTTCGTTGACTAATTCCTGACTGCAATCTCTCGTGTGCGGATTGTACATTACGTTTGCTAATTGTAAGACAGCAACAGTATTTTCTTCACTGGTAGCAGCTTTTATACGATTACGCTTGATAATAACATTACTAGTTTCTTGAAGAGATTGACAAAGTCTGTGAAATAACCATCGAGATGGGTGATTTCGTTTATTTTTCACTTTATGGGATGTCACGAGCCGGGCTCGGCGTCAGATGAGCCAAATTCGCACATTTTCTTTTCGTGTGTGGTAAAAGAAACATTCGAGTCCGGGTCGCGAATCAAGCTCGCCGAACCGGACTTGCGAGCCAAACTCGTACGTGTATAGACACAAAATAACAGTAGCACAAAAAATATAACATTTTAATTAAAAAAACGAAATTGACCTTGAAATTTTTTAACTGCCTCTACTTATAAAAAAAATGTATACATTATATAATAATCCCTCCGCGGTCACGCAACTTTTGTGCATAATAATTTTTCGTACAACTTATAATTTACAAATTTTCGAGATGTGCAAGTGCACCATGTATCCCACCCTGTATATTGAAAATAAATTGATCCGTGTTCAAGTATTTTATTTGATGTGCCCTATAAATGGTACTTTTTACTGTTTAAAATTTTAAGTAATCGGTTATTATAAATTTTAAAGGAGGAGACGCACTAGCAAGCAGCGCCCTATAGTGCACTTGGTCAGTGCCAAATGTTTATTTTTATTAAATAATATATATATATCTATATATTAAACAGTTAAAAAAGAAATAAAAATAACAAAAAAAATTAACAGTGTATTGATCCTGCATCCTCGCTACTCTTACGCTCACCAAGTGCGTTATACAACAGCTTACTAGCATCTTTCTTTAAGACTTATAAACTACACTACCGATCACTTAAAATGTCAAACATTATAAAAAGTATTATTTATAAGACATATTAAACGAAACACTCGGACATATATCAACTTATTTTCGATCATCACGTGTAAGCGGATTAAAACTGAAATTAGTCTACCGCGTCCTCCTTTATTTCTCCTCTTTAGTTCTCCTCTTGTCAATAAAGCAAATTAGTTTTCTTTTTCTGCGCACTGAATATATTGCTCAAGTGAGTTTATTTACTATTATGTAGTCTCTTTATTGTTAGTAATATCCATTATATTAAGCTTTTACATAAATTAAATTCGATTATAATCTCTAATATATCATATTTATGTTTAAGATTATTTGCGCTCTATTAAATCGCTTAAACTGATTATGAAAATATCATTATTTTAATTTCGAAAATTGGTTTTCGAAAAATCTGTTTTAATAAAATTAGTTTGCAAATAATTAATTTAGACAATTAAAAAAATCTATTTTTGAACATTCTTGTTACATCTAAATATTTATAAATTTAATATTCAGATTTTTCCAAAGTCGATTAATCGTTACAGACACTATTTAGAAATTTTCATATATTTACTTCAAAATTTATTTTACATAGGTATTCGGTTTAATACTGATGTATGTGGTTCTAGTTTCATCTGTTCTTTGAAGAGAATTTTAAGCAAACAAATATGTTTCAAAAAAGATTTAAAAATAAAAAAAATTTCCGTCTAATTTTAATAAAGTTTTTGAACTTTAAACCATAGAGTTTGCTTATTACGAGTCGCTTGCTGTTATTATACTGCAGAGGAGTTCATATAACATAACCCGTTGAACTTGAAATGCTTAGTCTATATTGAAATGTGGTGTAATTAAAAATAGAAAAAAATAATTATTTAAAATATTACAATTGTACGCGTTACTTAACATTATTATGTACTTATGGACGATGATCCGTAATGGAGTTGGTGAGTGAGGGAAGAAGGAAAAAGAGAAAAAAGAAAGGGAGATAATATTTTATAACTTTTGTAAATATTTCAAACTTCTGTAACATTAATGTCATACAAATAAATATCTAAACTAAATTTATGCTTTTTTTACGTATAATTTATAAAAGAGACTGCCTTAATATGAGCATATTTAGCGATGGCGTATACCTTGCGTACCAAAAGTTACGGAACGGCCAATTATTTCAGAAAGTATTGGTTATTGGAAGAATATGTTTCAGATAAAAGTTAGAGGGTTCAAAAGAGGCCAATAGACGATCTTATTAGATTTTAGGTCCAAGGCCCGTGCTGGGCCCAAGAGGATCCAAGTTAAATTTTTTAAATTAAAACCCTCATTTTTTATTGTATTATCTTTTTCTACTTATTAATTTAAACAACTTTTGTCTAAAACATTTTTTTATTTGCCTTATACTTTTTGAAATATTCAAGGAAAACTTGGTAACTTTTTTAATATTTATCTTACAATATCTCATTAATTGTTTATTGGAGGGAAAAGTGGTTAGTGTCAGAAAACTATGTTACAGTTTCCAAACTTCTTTTATTAATAACTTTTTAATAAACTCCTTGAAGGTCAAGGTCAACATTAAGGTCAGTCAAAAGTCATTTGGGGCTGGCTGTATAAAAAGAAATATTTACCCTAACGTTTAAATTTATTTAGATTATATTATAAGCGTAATTCGTGTAGTACCTAAAAGTCTTCCTCTTGTTGGTCTGTTCTGTTCGGCCGGTCACGAGCTCAAACTGTAGATACGAATTGTCCGAATTACTAGAATTTTTGATGTTGGAAACCGCTTTCAAACGGACAATGCTAGAATCGAAATCGTTGAAATTCTCCTTAAGTCTGATAGGCTCTGATGACCTCGGTAGAAAAGCTGGCGCCTTCTTATGCAATTCCACAACCCGTATGTCAAGATCAATGACATTGCTCTGCGGGATTTCGCCAAGATCATCGACGGTCGCCGTCATACAAAATTTGTAACCTGGATTCCGCTGCACAAATTCATTATGACCATAATGCAGGACATTTACATGTATATACATACGTAATTTGTTAAATAAAACGGGGAAGCGGAAGCTTATCGAATAAGAAATGGATCGACGTTCCATTATTTGTCAAAGTTTTGAGAATATAATTTTTAGTAAACACGATAAGATAATATTTCTGTCGATTATTCAACGGACATTTTTGTTTCAGGCGTTACTCGCAAAACGTTTACTAAAAATAGCAAAAGAGAAAACATTTACGTAACAAACTTCGCCGATGAATATGAAAATTCGAACAACGATTTAATAAAAAACGACGGAACTATCGCTTAAACTATCAGATAAGTGTTACAAGGCGCTATTCTCTCTTAATATCGTTCCACCTTCGCATTACTTACGTCTATAGCCTTGTTGAGGAATATGACACCGGACTCGCAGTCGATCCGAAAGTATACAGCATCATCCGGTCTCTTAGGAGACAGACTATACCGTACGACGGAATTGTTGCCATCGTCAATATCGGTGGCGGAAACTCGCATGACCTCGCGACCCACCGGTAAATCTTGCGGCACAGATTCCGTGTATGCCTGCGTAACAAGCCAAAATGTATTAGCGAGAACCGACAATCGCACAATACGTGCGCGTGGCTTCTAAAATGCACTTAGCGTGATGTATTCCATGCAATTTTCGTACGAATCGTGTTTACGATACAATTCCTAAAAGACCACACGTACATGCATGCTAATTTAATAATAATAATAAATTTAAATAATAAGATTTAATGATAATAAATTTACATATATATATATATATATATCGTACCACTTTGTCGAAGACGGGTTTGTTGTCATTGACGTCTTCGATGGTGACTTTAAATGAGCACACGTTAGCCATCTGCGGCCTTCCATTGTCGGTTGCGAGTACCGTGAGCCAAGCCTCTTTCTCGTAGAAGGGTTCGTAGGGTTCGTCCCTGTCGATAAACTGGGTCGTCCTGATGAGGCCCGTCTTGTTGTTGATTTGGAATTTTAACTTTTCGTCAGGAGAGATCATCAAGCGGTATGTAATGGTACCTGAAAATGTGAGGTCGGATCAGACGATCGTCGGATAATCGAGCTAGTAATAGAAATTCGAATCTGTCCTTCGAAGATCTTCAAATAAATTCATGAAAATCAAATTATACGAAAATACGAGTTCTTTCGGAAATATTATTCGAAATCAAACTTCTAAAAATCTTAAAAAATAGTTTAGTCTTGAAATTATTAAAGAAGTCTCGAATATCTAGAAACAATATCTTCCTATAAATATTTCCTAGAAGATTTTTAAGCAAATTAATCATGTAAAAACGAATTATTTTGAAAATATTATTCAAAATCAGACTTCTGAATATCTTGAAAAATAACTCAGTCTTGAAATTATTAAAGAAGTCTCGAATATCTAGAAACAATATTTTCCTAGGAATATTTGGATGCCTGAAACATATTTAAAACATGTCTGAAACATATTTAAAATATATTTGAAACATATTTAAAAATATGTTTTCTCCTTTACAACACAGTTTACAACGTTATTTCCATCCATTCTATATTTATGTACAGATACAGATAATAATTTTGTTTTTAAGTTAAACATGTTTTTTAATTCAACAATTTCAAAACTTCTTTAATAAAAAATTTATTTGATTTCGAGTTCAAATCAAATGAGACTCTTGTCGTATAAAATAATTCTTTTGCATAACATGTTGCGAGTGAACTATAATTACTTGCCTGTACGCTCTATTTTTGTTCATCGCGGTTTGTTGGCATGAGAGAAAATAGTACGTACCTCTGCTTTATTAATTAATAATGCGACAAGATATTTCCGTTTGCCTGATCTCATTTTGATGCGCGTAAATCCGTCAAAAATAATAAATAAATGGTGAAAAACATACCGGGGACACGGTACATGATTAAAAACAAGCTCAAACACGGATCGTGCATCATAAACTTTTTTCCGTTTTAATTGGAGGTCGCAAAACTTTGAAGATCATAAAAATGGCATGAACAACTTTCTTGTTTTTTTTACCACGCGCATAATTTACCACAGACGTTTTATGCGTGACAAGTGTGACATATACGCGATGATGTCGCGCTGCCATACAATATCTCCTTCCTCCGGCGGATCCCGATCCTCGGCGTGCACCTGAATTACCACCGTGCCAGGCGGTTCCTCCTCCTTCACCACCGGCGCGTAAATTGAGCAATTGGAGAACACCGGCTTGTGGTTGTGATTTTCATCGAGCTGAAAGCGCAAGAGAAACGGACGGCTATTAGGGCGGGTGTTACTTGGGCGCGAGGCAGGTGCCCCACTCGAAAGATGTCCGGGGGATTAATCGTTTTGACCATGGATTTTGGTCCTTCTAAATTGATGTAATTTTGATGCTTATATATATAGGGTAGACCGGAGCACGTTGTCACACGGGGCACGTTGTTACATCGGCTTTATTTAAAAAACTAATAACCAGAGAGCAGTACCCGTCATTCCCAAAACGTGTTAGTGTATGCCCATCTTTGGTGTGTTTACAGTGTTGAGATTGCTCCAGCCGTGTTGACGTAAAATCAACTTAAAAGTTTTTTGCGACCCCGGGAAAAAATGGAAGAGATCTGAACAGATTTGAGCAGATCTCATCAGATCCAATCCACTCAGATCTGGTTTGATCAAAATATTGGCCCTATCTGATCAGATCCAATCAGACATGAGTAGATCTGATCCGATCCGGTGTCCATCCACTGCAGAATATTGTTGTTTTTAAATGTGCCACTTTATTATAAAAGTGGACTCCACGATACAAAAGTTGTGCCGTTCCACGATTTACATAACTTGGCGCAACTTTGAGATGCAACATTATGATCTGATCATATATAATCTTATATGACTATATAAGTTTATATGTGACTATATTATTTTATCAGTTTAAATTATAAGGTATGTTTGCAAAATAATTTGAAAGATTTATGTTTTATATATACATATACACATTAATCTTTTATATTTACTTATTATTAATTAATTTTGCACGGTACTTTTTTAATGGAATATTTATAATAAATTCTAAATATGGTGTCAAAATTAACAATTATTATTAAATTGGCAGAGACTATATTTATTATATATGTTAATGTTTCAAAATTGTGAAAACTGTTTTTAATA